CGCGGGGCCCTGGGAGCTGTAGTTCCTTGGCCAGCTCCCTGCCCCAGCGAGCGCCGGACGGAACTCCATTTCCCAGCATGCCCTTGGCTGCCAGCCCCAGGAAGGGAGGGGGAAGGAGCGGGGATCCCCCTGGGCGCTCACACCCCGCGGGACTCTGGGAGCTGTAGTTCCTTGGCCAGCTCCCTGCCCCGAGCGAGCGCCGGACGGAACTCCATTTCCCAGCATGCCCTTGGCCGCCAGCCCCAGGAAGGGAGGGGGAAGGAGCGGGGAAGCTGAGAGCCCACGCGCTGCAGTTTGCTGTGGAGACATTCCCACCACCGTTTCGTACCTCTCTCCTTTCCCCACTTTCTGCTCCCAGGGTAACAGACTGTGATGCATGGGGTTCGTCTAGCATCGTTTTCCCGTCTCGGCCTCTCTCCATCCTTTGGTCCAGGGCTGGTCAATTCTGATGGCTGGGGACATTCCCTACACAATGACCTTTCCCCGTTCTCTACCTTCCCCTATCTCCTAGACCAGGGTAGAGAGTTGTGATAGATTGGAGATATTGAAGCCTATGGCTAGCCTGCTTACTTGCCTATATATCTTTTCTTATGGGTTTGACTATTTGTTTTATTATAACAGGTTATAATATGTTTAGAGATTTATATTAGAGTATTTTTGGCTGCAATGCAAGGGACCTACAGGCCACATCCGGTATGTTGTTCTAAGGCAAAGTGCTGCTGATGGGGGAGGGGGGCAAAAGGGAGGCTACCAGCTAGCCCCTGCAGCCCCGCCCCTTCTGCCTGAGGCCCCGCCCCTTCCAGGGGCCCAAAGCCGTCCCCCGCCTTTGCCCAGGGGCCCGGCAATTCTGTCGGCAGCCCTGGTTATAATGCAAGATTTTGAGTATATTAATTAATAATATCACATGTATCTCTAGACCAACATTATTGCCTTTGTAACTCTGATCATTATTACCACTTGATTGCTGTTTGATTACTATTCCATTTATCTCTATAAAAGTCTTTAAGACTACATTTGTCTCAGTGTGAGTGTCCTTGTCGTACATCCCGAGGGTCCTCACAAACTCTGTGTAGACTCATTCTGGGACAAGAAACTTCTTATCTTCTGATCTGATCAATTGGCGAGCCTATAACCCATATTATCTAACTGATAATATTAACCTCCTAAAATCAGGCAACAGTGTCCTGTCATAATTTGCTACCTCTCTCTGCCCATCAATGCAGTGTTGCCAATTTGGGGAGATCAAAAATCATGAGTCCGACCCCCCAAAATAATGAGATTTTAATAAAA